TGGCCAGCGGGTGTGGGCATCCATGTCTGCGCAGAGGCATTCCAACCTAGTAGACCATTTCTCTAGCTTCTTCTTTTTGTTTCTGAGACATGGCCTCATTTAGCTCAGGCTGCCCTCTAACTTCCTGTGTAGCCCAGGATGATCTTGACCTCCCAATTCCCCCTCCTCTACCTCTCTAGTGCTAGGATGACAGGTGTTGATACTACACCTTGTTTATGGGGTGCTGGAGATCAAACCCAAGGCTTCCTCTGTGCCTGGCAAATGCCCAAGCCCCAGCCCCAGAGCTTATATTTATTTTTTGAGGCAATCACTCTATAGTCCACGCTGGTCTTGAACTTATTACCTTGCTGCCTCCGTTTCCCAAGTGTTGTGGTGACAGGCTTGCAGAACTCAGGGCCACCTGGCTGGGTAAACATTCATCAACATTCATCACTGAGCCACATCCCCAGCTCACCCCAAAATATGAGATCAACCAGTCTCCAAGATCACCCAGTATCCATCCACCGTGACCTCTTTGAGTGCCATCCAGTTGTGACCAGACTCACAGGTCTGGGCTTGCCAGGCTGATGGCCTTCAGAGCTGGGACGAGTAGAGAGCAAGACTTCTGGCCTTGCTGGCAGTCTTGCCTCTGCCTGCTGGGCCCCTTTCCCTCCCTCCTGTCATCATCCCCAGGCAGGCCCTTCCTTCCCCTGGCTGGATTACACAAGCCACTGCCTGCTGCTTGTGGCCTGGGCTGTGGGCAGTTACTGGAAGGCCCAGCTCTGCTCCAGGGCTTGGCTGGGCAGAATCCATCTCCCCTTCTTACCTCTGGTGATTAACCGTGTGTGCTGCCTGCCTGAGTTCCACAACCCTCCTGGATGGTTTGGGGGCTCTGTTCTAGTCTGATGGGGAGCCTGGGAACCCCAATATGCTCCAGTCTGTGTCACAGACCTGGGGACAGAGGATAGTTGTCCTGTATCTGACCATATTGGGGCTTAGGGTTTACCACCAGGGACCCCCTGTGCAGGCTTTCCAGGGTCTGACTCAGAGGGAACTTCTGGGGTTCTTCTGAGGTATTTAGGTCTCCTGATAGGGTCTGAGTATCTGCAATGGCTTCAGAGGTCCTGCCTGACCTTCCCCACTGGGTCACAATGTCAGCCTCAGCCTGTGCTCCTCCAGCAGCTTGACCCAGTAGGCAGCTGCCATGCTTTGATGGTCACAGTGGGGCAGGAGCCACACCTATGCCTTCTGCCCTGGCACCTTTCCAGATAGAAGCACCAGGAACTAGGGAGCCTACACAGTCCTTTCATAATGGCCTCCTCTCCTACCACAGGATATGACATCAGAACTGCTGCTGCTAGCACCACAGAGTGAGCAGCCCAGATAGCCGCCACCCGAGGGTCGCGGAGTGCTGCCTCCACCTGCCTGATGCTGGCAGTGGAGCCCACCATGGATGGGGACTTCCCTCCACATGAGCTCCCACCCCCTGGAGGTGGCATCCAGCTGCAGGTGAGCCTTGTCCTTGATCTTGAAATCACCCCAAGGGACAGTACTTTCAGAGCCCTGCTCCCCAGCTACCCTGATACCCTGGACATGGTCTGTCCTCTGAGTGAAGAAAAGGGTTGACCTCTGCGTTGATCTTGGCCCACAGCATCATCCCCTCAAGTCTCCTGTCCTACAGTTTGCCATGGAAGGGCTTTTGTTTGTCTTATTGTTGGTTTGGGGGTTTTGGTTTACTTTGTGTTTTGATGCTGGGTTTCCTGTAACCCAGGCTGGCCTGGAATTTGCTTGTACAGAGTGATCTTGAACTCCTAGCTCCATTTTCTAAAGCCAGGGGACAGGTATGCCCCCACGCCCCGTATACGTGGGACTAGGGATTGAGCCCGGGGCTTGTGTGCTACAGACAGAGACCACGCCCCAGACTTGCTTCCGGGTTCTTTGAGACAGGATTTCAGTCTGTTACCCAGACTGGCCTGGAACTCATGGTTGTCCTCCTACCTCAGCTTCCCGAGTGTTAGGATCCCTGGTAGGGCCTGCTCTTCAGGGAAACAGCATCCTCTGCCCCTCTGTCTCCTCGAGCTGTCCCAGGCCCGGAGGATGCAGGACACCTACACTGTTTCAGGACACAGGAAGTGTGGGTGGTCAGATAGGATGAGGGTAAGCCAGAGCTGTGCCATAGCCTGGTTCCCGGGAACACAGGCGGGATGACAGGGCCTCAGCATGGGAATGGCTGGGTAGGCTGCTGCTGACCTAGGACCCACACCATGCCCAGCTGCACCGTCATGTACTCCTGCGGCGGAGAATGAAAGAGGAAGTATCATTAGTGGAGCTTCCAGATCTTGGGGTGGGGGAAGCAACAGCGACTGACACCCAGAATGTCATTCGTAACGCAGAAACCCTGGCTGGCATCCAGTACCTGCGGCTAGCTGGGCCATGCCCAGCTCCTGTTCTCTCTGCTTGGCCCTTTCTGTTCCCCACCCACTGTTCCCTCATCCACAGCCGATAATTTACTTAATTATTTCCCTATTGTCAGGCCTTTGGAGAAAGTCCAGCTTCCTCTGCTATAAATAGTGCTGCCTTCTCCCCCTTCCATCCACACCCGTGGTGTGATTTCACAGGATTCCAGAGACAGAGCCAGGGGTGGTAGGCAGTCAGTGGGCTGGATGCACAGCATGCATCTACCTTATGGTGACATTCCAGTAATACGCACTTAGGGCAGGACCAAAGCCCCATTAGGGCTAGATCCCCTGTTGAAGAGGTTCTGGGTGAACCTCAGCTTTTACCAGAGTACACTTTGGGCCTCAAAGCCTGGAGCCACACCCCCAGCCTAGTCCACTCCCCACGCCTCACTGGGGGATTCTAGATAGGGGCTCCATCCCTGAGCCCCACCCCTGTCCTCTCCCTGGGGAACTTGGGGTTCTCTGCCACTGAGCCATGTCCCCAGCCCCTCCAAGCACAGTCTCTAGGCTCTCGTTGGAGGGACACATTCAGCTCTCTGGGCCGTGCACCTGTACTCAGCATGCCCTCCATGGCTTCCCTCATGTACATGAGGCGGCTGAGACACTGGCTGAGGTCCTGGTTCTCCAGGACCCTTTGAACAGTGGGGCCTGCTCTCCTCTTGCACCTGATGCTGTGTCTCTGTGTTTGCAGAACCGACTCCTGCACTGTCCTTGGTGGGGCAGTTTCTCACCACCATTGTACCCCAGTTTCTCCAGTGAAAACCAGTAAGTGTTACCTCTGCGTGAGCCCTGTGTCTCATCAGCCAGGCTGGAAAAGGAAGAGGCTGCTGGAGAACAGGCTCCAGGGCACCCAGAAAGTCCTGGGTCTTAAAGGCTTGGAAGGAGTTTGCCTGGGGAGATAGCCCGTGCAACATCTCAGTGCAGGTGTGCGCCCAGCTTCCTGAGTACTTGAGATAGATTCCTCCTGCACGCCTGTATGCATGTGCTATACGTGTGGAGCCAGAGCTTCCTCAGTCACTCAGTCAGAGTGAGAGAGGGTCTCACTCTGTAGCCATGACTACAGCTCCCTCTGTAGACCAGGCTGGCATGGAACTTAAAGATCCCTCTGCCTCCTGACGCTGGGACTGAGGGGTGCTGACACAGCCAGCTCCTCTGTAGGTTTTCACTGTACACGTCTATACATAACACACGTGCCGCAGAGGCATTGGATCTCCTAGAACTGCTGTTTAGAACTGGTTGTGTGCTGCCCCGGAGCTGCTTTGGCACAACAGCCGCTACTCTGAACCACTGAGCCGTCTCTCCAGCCCCGTCCACCCTGATCTTTTGTTGTTTTGTTTTGTTTGTTTGTTTGTTTGTTTGTTTGTTTTGGAGAAGAGGTTATTTGATTTTTTTTTTAACACAGGGTTTCTCTGTGTAACAGAGCCCAGCCATCCTGTAACTTGCTCTGTAGATCAGGCTGGCCTCAAACTCAGAAATCTGCATGCCTCTGCCTCCTTCAAGGTGTGGGCTGTCACGCCTGACCTACCTTGATGTTTGTGCCTGGATCTCTCATAAGACCTAGAGCTCACTACTTTTGGTTGGCTCTGGGGCCCCATCCCTACTTCCAGGCTCGGCACAACCCATCGAGGTGGGAGAGAGGCAGCCAGGACTGCTGGCCTGTGCTCTGGCCACGCCCTCCTTACCATTCTTGGCTTTGGAGAAATAGGGCAAGGTGCAGGTGGGCAGGGAATGTTCCAGGGTCTTAGGTTGTGCTTGTCTGTCCTGTCCTGGAGTCTGACGGGCCATGTAGGAAGGGCTGGTTGCTCGACTGTTACAAGCCTGGCCCAAGATGCTCTAAACTGTGTGTCTGAGGCACTGGGCTAGACTGTGGCTGCCCCGTGGCTAAGCTCCCAGCAGTTGGGAGAAATGCTTCTTCGATCCTCTGTCCCCATGCCTGCCCAGACTTGTGGTCACCACTCTTACTTCTTCTTGCAGACAGTTCGTGGGCTCCACCCCATTCCTTGGTGGCCAGTCTTGCCCTGAAACCAGCTACCCCACCACAGCCACCGTCCCCAGCTTCTTCTCCAAGAGCAGCGACTTTCCTCAGGTAATGGCCATGCTCATGCCCCCTGCCTGGGGCCCTGAGCTGTCACTGTGGCCACTGGTCTTCAGCGGGGCTGATTGTGACAGGGATTTGAGGCTACTTTAGACACGGAGGGTCAAGCCAGCCAGACTAGCCGTGGCATCCTGGGATTGAGGCCTGTCACTGGCCTTTGAGACTTTGCCTTGGAGTCGTGTCTGGAGCTGTATGAGGAAGGTGAGGGCTGCCACAGTCTGTGCCAGGCCGTCCTCACAGACGCTATAAGGTCTCATGCCTGCCTCACACTGGCACGGTGGTGGGATCTTCCCACAGGCTCCACACAAGTGTCCATGTTCTGGGAAGCACCTGTGGTGAAAAGCTCACCCACAGATTCCAGGAGAGAGTTTGAGTCCTATTCCCCTGGGATACCAGGGTGGCTATCCCACCAGTCTCTCATGCCTCCCAGGGGCTCTCACCAGTGCACTGTTCAGAGGTGTCTACTCAGCAACTGGGCTGTGGCACAGATCTTATCACTAGACGTGTAAAGAGGCTCCTCAGGCCATGCAAGGAAGCCAGGCCTGCCAGCCCCCATCTCGCTGCCTTGTCTGCCTTACTGTCCCTGTCTGCCTGTGTCTCTGTCTCTGTGTGTTAGGTCGCTAAAGGAATAGAACTGATGACTGCGTATATGTACATGTGTAATGAACATGTAATACGTATGTATCACACACACATACAGATAGATACAGACACCGGTGGCCACTCAGTAGAGCACCTTATGGTCTGTGCACTAGGTAGTTGATCAGCAGTTGTCTTTAGTAGTTGCTCAGTCCTTGAAGCCGGATGTCCCAGCAGTCCTGATCCAGTGCTGGAGTCCTGTAGGATTCTTAGGGAATGCTGGTCTTCAGTCTGCACTGGAATTCTGAAGAACAGGGTTCTGACACCAGCGAGGGAGTACCTCGCAGCAGGGTAGATGAACCTGCCAGCGAGTGTGAGGGCAAGCAGGCAGAAGCAAAAGCTTCCTCTTTCCATGCCCTCTTATGTGGAAGATGTGGCCCAGGTTTAGGGTGGGTCCAGGCAAGAGACTTCCCCCACAGGTGTGCCCAGCACCTTGGGTGAGTTCAGCCCATCTGTCTCTGTGTGTCTCCCTGTCGTTGTCTCTGCCCTCTGCCTTTGTGTCTATGTGTCTCCATCTCTGCTGATGCCAGAGGCCCACACCTGCCTCCCTGTGGTCAAAACTCCCAGAGGTGAGCTCCCGCACCCCCCTCCTACCAGCTGTGCCCATGTGATCTGCTTGTCTGAACCCCATTTGTCACACACATCTGGCAACATGGCTGCCTGTTACCTCTTATTGGCAGATAGCCACACCCATCACATTGGGTGAGCGTTTATTGAACACTTGGTGTTTGTGTGTCCTGCACACACTGCCCCCAGAATGCCTGTAGCGGTGCCTACCCTCATGCCTGTTGCCCTGTCCACAGAAGGTTGGACCAGGGCATTCTACTAGAGCCTCTGGCTGTGGGGCCTCAGCTTGTCGCCTGCTTCCACCTCCCCCATGTCTCCAGGCCTTGGATGGCCTCAAATTCCTCAGAACAAGAAGGAGCCAGACATGAGCCAAGCTTCACAGCAGGGCAGAAAGGACAGGAAGAGTGGCATAAGTGAGCTGGAGATGTCTCCCTATGGTCCTCAGAGGGAGGCAGGACAGTGAGAATCAGAGATTCTTCCCGAGGCTGAGCTGCCTGCCCTGAACAGGGGAGGAGTTGAGTCTACTGGAGATGCATGTGCTGCCAGCCCCACCCATGTGGATGTAGAGTCTGCCTTACAGGTGGCAGGATTCACAGTGGCTTCAGGACACAGTTTGCCATAGTTTGTTCCTGTGGCAAGAGAAGCGGCTACCCCAGCGCTCATGCTACTTCTGTGTTCCATGTGGACATGTTCCCTACCTGGAGTCAGACCCAGAGCTAGAAACTAAGCCTGGGGCCTGAGGTTCCGGCAGAAGAAGCAAAAAGAGAAAAGACATGGATCATGTGACTGAGCCATAGAGGAGAAAGCCTGTGGAAGGAAGGCTTCCCGTTGTCCCTATACTGAGGAAGTCAGGCACAAGGATAAGAGTTTAGCTGTTCCTGGACTACCAAGAGTCTGTCTCAAAGCAACAAGAAAACTGGCAGAGAAATAGAAGAAACCAAATATTGTCTGCCATTCAGCCTGTTCCTTTCCCGCGGGTAGGAGCCTCCTGTGTCCTTGCATCTTGGAAGTTGCCTCTGATGTCTGCCATCTTCTGTTCAGCCTCCTGTTCCCCTGGCTTCTTCCTCCCCCTGCTGTGAGCTGTGGTAGTCTCCCTGACATACATTTCCTACGATGCTGGCTGGCTGCGTAACTTTGACCCTTGGGGCCTAAGTAGCTGCTGACTGGACCCAACATGCCACACACTGGTTACTTCAGGCTCCACAGAGTGTCTTGCGTGCCTTACAGTGTCCCTGGAGCCCCGCCTGCCTTTGCGGCCGGCCCCAGCCCTCGGCCTCCTGCTTCTACAAGGAAAGGCCCGTGCACTCCTGCTCGGTCCTCATCTCCAGGTGGTGTGGAGCCTCCCCATAGGCTCTGATAGCCCTGCTTGGTGACCGGAACAGCGCCACAGTCCCTGTGGGAATGCCCAACCTGGGCGTGCAGGTGCGTGGTACCCGACACCAGCTCTTGTCTCCATTCTTGAGTTTTTTTTTTTAGTTGAGACATCATGTGACTCCCAAGCTACCATGTCACCCATCCCATGAACTACCTACCATCTTTCCCTCCTCACAGTCCCCAGCACCCAAGAGTCCTTTTCCTGTCTCTGGATTCTCCTGCTCTGGACATTTCCTGTTATGGAGTCCCACACAGTGTGGCCTTTGTGTCTGGGTCTCTCACAGAGTCTTGAAGGCCCTCTCCACTGTGCCTGTGTCTCCACCTCTCATGGCCAAGTAACACTCTACGCGTGTGCTGCCCGCTCATCCACGGAGCTTGTTTATCCATTTGACCATCGCGATGGCAAGAGTTGCCATGGGGACTTGTTCCTGTGGTTCTTGAGTGCATACCCAGGAGTGGGAGTGTGGGTGGAGGTGACAGCTGTAAGCTGTTAGCCAAGGGTTTTGTGTATTGGGTGTGTGGGGGCTGGAGCATTGGTTCTTACCTCAGGAGAGCAGGTACAGCACTCTTGGGGCAAAGCCTGTGTCAGCTGAGAGGGGTACCGGAGGCCTGTGGGAAGGGCCTGCACCTAGAGCCATCTCTTCTTCATTCTCCTCAGGCTTCTCCTGGGCTGTCCCCTACCAGAATGTCTGGGAGTCCTCAGTGTTCCCAGGGCTCACCCAAGCCCCGTACCTTCCCTGAGGTTCCCTATATGGATGCAAAGCCATTCAGACCCCACATTCTTGGCCATGGTCCTGCCTCTCATTACCCCCAGCCCCTGTACAGGGAGGGCAGCCTCCAGGAGCCGAGTGTGCACAGGTAGGCCTGTACCCCAGGCCCCCTGCTTCTCTCCAAGAGTGTATGTCCCGTAACATGCTCACTTGACCGGCTGCTGGGAAAGCAGATGAGCTCACACTCAGGAAGGAGCAGTGCGGCCTCTCTCCCTCCCTCCTTCCCTCCCAGTGGCTGCATTGACTCCTCCCGCAGATGCTAGTCAGGATCAGAGGTCTGGCCACTGGCTGTCCAACTGTTTACCGGCACCAGGAAAAGGAGAGCCAGAGAGGGGCGCTAGCTTACAGGAAGCCTGTAGCTGCTGCTGCTCTGTGTAGAGAGGGTGCCGTGGGGACCTGCGTGTCCAGTTCTATATGCACTTAGAGCCTGGTGGCCCAGAGTCTGCAGTGTCTCCCTGGCCACTCCCACCCTCCCAGGCGCCCATGGACCCTTGAAATGGTCTCCAGCCTTCTGCATCACCCTCCTCCATGTGTCTGTCCCTCAGTGTTGTAGGGACACTCCTGTAGTTGGGTAAAAACTCAACCTGATCCCGTGGGACCTCACAGAAGCCCAGTATTTCTGCAATGACTGTGTTCTTAGGAGCTGGGGTCAGACATAGGCTTTCCTAACAGGACTTTTTTTTTTTTTACATTTTTTTGAGATAGGGTCTCATGTAGTGCAGGCTAGCCTTGAACTCATATGTAGCTGAGAATGACCTTGCACTCCTCGTCTTCCATTCCTGGTTTCTGTGGTGTCTTGGATAAAACTCCAGGCTCTGTGCATGCTGAGGGCACGCTCTGCCCACCAAGCCATGGGCCACCTCCTGTGTCAGCTCTAGGTTGTTTCTGAGACAGGGTCTCTCCAGAGAGCCCTGGCTGTCCTAGAACTCACTTATGTAGCCCAGGCTGTCCTAGAACTCACTATGTAGCCCAGGCTGGCCGCAAACTCACACTGATCTGTCTCATAAATGCTGAGACTAAAGACATGTGCTGCCAGGCCTGATTTATTTCATTTTTCTTAAGACAAAAGTCTCATTATGTAGCCCAGGCTGCCCTTGACCTGGTGGCAAGGCTCCTGCCTCAGCCTCCTGAGTGTTGGGATCACATGAGCCACTTTGTCACTTTAGCAGTTTGGGTTACCTGCTGGCTGCCTGCACCCATCCAGGCCAGCCCTGCCTGTCTTCTGTACTGGAGCCTCCCATGTTAGGCCAGCAGCCTTCCTGCCTTGCCATGCTCTGCCCCCTCGCTGTGGTAGAGGGAACCCTCTGCTATTCCCAACCTGGCCACACAGCCCTAGACCAAGTAGACGGGAAGATGGGGCGCCGAGGCAGGAGATGCGATGGGGAATTAAACCCCAGCCCTGGTGCTTCAGGCTAAGGGACCCCCACTGCGCTGCCAGATCCAAAGACCAGCTTGGGAGTCGTGGGTGCTCTGTCCCCATGACCCTCACCCCTGGCCGTCAGCCACAGCAGCAAATGTCCCACCACCGGGCTTTGTGCTCTAGTGTGGTCCTGTCCATCAGAGTCAGCACAGGCCACACAAATGACTCTTGTGCTCGAGTCCTCAGGCCCCTCTTTCCCATGTCCTCAGTTCCCCCCATTCTCGGCTAACTGATCTCAGGCCCTCTGAGCCCTGGCCTTGTGTCCTATTGGCTCCTAGGTCTCCCTTGCCTGACAGTCTACATGCCTGGCCCCCAGGGGCTGTGAGGGGCAGAGTGACCCCCTCCTGCCACACCTGAGTTCTATCCTCATACCTATCTGACTCTGACCCCTGGGAGACCCCTCAGGCCCCTGTACCCTCACAGTTGGGGGTGTTGGGACTTCAGTTTTTCATATTGGTTCCATCATTCCCTGTACACCCCCATCCTCCAAGACAGGGTGTCTCTGTGTAGCCCTGGCTATCCTGGAACTCACTCTGTAGATCAGGCTGGTCTCTGCCTCCTGAGTCCTGGGATTAAAGGCAGGTGCCATCAGCACAGGGCCTTCCATTCTTAGAATTCAGACAGCTGTAAAGATTGCCCCTTCAAAGTACATTCAGCACCCACGGGAGAGTCAGGACGAGAGATGAGCCTTGGTTGCATAGACTGTAGGCACAGGCATCATATCTATCTAGAACGTTGTGTCTTGATCCCTGTCATCCCTGGGTGGGGGTGGGCAGGGGGCGGCACACAGGACAGAGCCCAGCCTTCAGTAGTCCCAGGGAGGCTGAAGTGTTAAGTCTTCCCCCATGGGACGTCCCAGAGAAGTGGGGTCAGGCCAGGCTCTGGGCCCAGCAGGGTGCGCCGTTGTTGACAGCCCTTCTGGGCTGATCCGCCCCCTACAGTAATTCTCAGTGCTCTGCCAGGAACTGCCCTGACTTACCAGGCAGGCATCATTTCCTGAAAGCCAGCCCAGCCTTAGGGGAAGTCGGGAGCCTGTGACTAACCCTCATGCAAATGGGGCCAGCAAGAGCACTGCTGCCTCTGTCCCCCACGGAGCTGCTGAGCCTGTGGCTACCGTGGTCATGAGGCTGGCGTTCCCTCGCAGCTCTTCCAGGGGGACACAGCGGCCACCGCTCAGCGCCCCGCACCCCGACCATGTCACAGCTGCGCTTCTGGCTGCAGTTCGCCGCGCTCAACAAGGTAACTGGTCAGGGATCAGCAGGCCACCCAGAGCCACCTGTGGCGCCCCTGAGCTCCCACAGGTGGCAGAGCTGTGGCGCGAGACGCCCCCAGCCCTGCCCACTCTGTACTTTTCTTGGCAAGTCACAGTGAACATGCCAGAATTTTTTAAGTCAGAGACTAGACTCAGCATAGTGGCCAGCATGAGGACGGCTGTGGGAGGGAGCCTCAGGTGCAGATGGCCAGAGCTAGCCCAGCTGCTCTCCATGCTGAGGGAGGGATGAGTTGGGGTGTCCTCAGTCCAGGTGGGACTGTTGTCAACACCTCTGCATGGGCAAAGGCAGAAATCAATTTCAGCAAGGTCTGATGGGATAGGTAGAGGCAGGAGCCCATCTATCCTCTGGGTTTTCAGTCCAGAAGGGGTGGAGGGTGTCTGTGTTTTTCTGTGGGTCTTTTCTGGGTTTGTCTTCCTGGGCTGAGGAGATGTCTGCTGTATGACCTGGGACAATCAAGGGCTAGTCTCTGCTGGTTCCCTTCCACCTAGCAGGGCTGTCTCAAATACCCAGTAACCACAGTGGGGACCCTCCCAACCTCCTCATTGTATGCCACCCAGTGTGTCTATGGTCTCGCTGGAGACCCAGCAAAGAGTTACAGGGTATAGATCTACCTTACAGGGGCCTCACTGGGAACCCCATCCTCAGAGCATCCTGTAGGGAAGGCCCAAGGCACACAAGGGTCCAGGCACCTAGCTGTGGCCTTTCCCATAGAGATAGGTACCTCGTCAGTGTGGGTCTGTGTAGATGAGCTAGTGACAACTGAGTTGAGTCTTGAATTGTCCTGGGGCATTGGCTGTTATGCTCGAGCCAAGCTAAGCGCAGGGCCAGTCCTGAGCACTCCAGAAGCCCTGTGCTCAGATGAAGTGTTGCCCCAGTGCCCATGGGTGACGACTGTAGGAAGATGATGGCAGGATGTTTGATCCTACTGGCCTGGTTGGTAAAAGTTTTAAACTAGCATTGAAGGCTCCAGGTGAGATGCTTGCCTGACATCCCAGTACTAAAGTCAGAGGTAGGAGGATGGGGGGGGGGGTTGCAAGGTCAGCCAGAGTAATGCCAGACTATCTTAGAAAATAAATTTTCTAAGGGTTGCAGGGTTGCACCATGCAATACTCAGGGCCCTCACTTCCTCTCCCTATGTCATGCCCATCACACCGAGTGAGGGGCTTTCTACTAACACATGTTACCCTCAACCATAGAGGCTTGCTGTGTCCACTGCCTCAGTTTCCTTCACTTCCTATCTTTGTCTGTGACCCCTTAGGACATCACCCGTCCTCTTCCCTTCAGGCCACCTTCCTGGGCCAAGCCTAACTGACATAGTTCCACCTTGGCCTGAGGCCACTGTGGGAGTCACTGGCTTTGCCTCCCCAGCCACAGCTGCGGAGACCATCACTGACTAGCAAGAGCCATTGTGGGAGAGTGCTGGGCACATCGCTGGGCCCCAGCGAGCCCTGAGACATGGGTTTCTCACTACTCCTCTGGCCCCTCCCATGTGCAGGACTGGGTTCTCTCAGGATTTTCTCACCACACTGGAGACCAAGGATTGCAGAGCTGTCCTATGCTGCCCTACCAGGGTGCTGGGTGCTGTGCTGGGGTCAGGGCACAGATTGTGACTGTCCAAGTCTGCTCCTAGCATATGATGGGGAAACGGGTCTCAAAGCCTATCACGCCCTTTCCTGTCCCCTGAATGCAGGCTGCCACCTCCACAGTGGGATCATAGTGCCCTACAAGGGAGGTGGGGGTTCTGAAACCCAGCCCCATAGCAACTCAGGGTCACTAGCAGTTCCCTAGGAAGTCAGTAGGTACCCAGCCAGTTGTCTCCCCTTCTCTGGGTAAGAGCATATAGCCCTGGACATGCTAACCCTCAGATGAGGTGCACGGTTAGTTATCCAGGACTCTTCCCAAGACCAAGGCTCTAGAGTCTAAGGAGAAAAGCCCTAGAGAGCAGCCTTACAGCAAGCGGGTAGGCCGAGGGCCATACTCAGGGCTCTTCTGCCCCTCCCCACCTTGAAGCCTCGAAACCATGTTGCCTAGTCACGTAGCCTGTCTCCTGGGGCAGAGCAGGAGACTATAACTGGTTACCCAGGTTCAGGGACAGCCTCTTCACTCAGCACAGCCTCATCCTCCCTGACCTCTAAGCACCAGTTCTCTGAGGGTGTCTCTCAGGTAGACCCTGGAGACCCTGCTGTGCACCCTTGAGTGCTAACTGTCAAGGCTGGGGGACAGGGTGTGTACGGGGACAGCAGCAGATTACCCCTGGTTCTAGTTGTAGCCCTAGAGGACCTCCTGGCCTCCTGCCCTGCCAAGGAGATGCCCCCAGTGCTTCAGAGGCAGATGTGAGCTGGAACCTCTGGTTATCCGATACTGGACTGTGCTGGCCGCTGTGGGTCACAGGCACAGTGAGGCACAGTGATTCTGCCCAGGCCTTCAGGGACATCACCCTGGCCTCCAGTCCCTTATGCAACAGGGGTGGGACATAAAAACTCCCAGCTTACAGGGTCCTTTCAGAGTCTTGGGGTGGAGACAGGACTCCTGTCTTTCTGGCATGGTGGCTCATGCCTGTCATCTCAGCACTCAGGAGGCCAAGGGAAAAGAATTGCCGTGAATCTGAGGCCAGCCTGGGCTACAGAGTAAACAAACATGGTTGTTCCGTTTCATCTGTATTCCATATAGTTCACTCATTTAAACTGCATCTCTGTGGTTTTAATGTAGTCATGACTGTGTGTTCATGACTTTTACAACATTCCATCCCATCAGAAATAATCCCATCCCCAATGGCCGTCACCCCACCGTTCCTCAGGTCTGGAAACCCTGAGCCGCTTGCCATCACTGCCTTCTCCCAGTCCGGGCGTGCTCTGTGATGGAGTCCCCACTGTGTGGCCTTGTGTGTCTGCTCTCAGCGAGCACCGTGTCCTCATGGTCATTCCATGTTGTGCTGTCCTGTTCCTGGCCCTCTGATACTCCAAACACATTGCCACTCGCCTGGACATGCGAGTGTGCGCACACAACTAGCCCCTGTGTCACCACTGCCTGTCTCCTAGGACCCCTCGTGCCTCGAGGACCTCTCCAATGCCTCTGTGTTCTCATCATCTGTGGACTCCCTGTCGGACATCCCGGACACGCCTGACTTCCTGCCAGCCGACAGCCTGAATGAGGTACCTACCATCTGGGACGTCAGCACCACCTCAGCCACCCATGACAAGGTCAGCACTCAGGGCACCTCCAGGGCCACCCTGGTGACACAGGCAGACAAGGAAGGCTGGCAGAGCTTGAGAGTGTGCTCAGGGTTATAAGGGATCCTGTACCCTAGGCTGGTGAGCCAATCTCCACAGCTCTAGGGGCCCCCTGCTAGGTGCATTTGTACACCTGCTGGGAACACAGGTGCTTCCAAGACAGAAGGCAGTTTGAGCTTAGTTTTATTTGGTTTCTTTTATTTCTTTTTTTTTTTTTTTTTTTAAAGATTTTTTTTTATTTATTTATTTTATTTATGAATATACTGTAGCTGTCTTCAGACACACCAGAAGAGGGTATCCAGTCTCATTACGGATGGTTGTGAGCCACCATGTGGTTGCTGGGATTTGAACTCATGACCTCTGGAAGAGCAGTCAGTGCTCTTAACCGCTGAGCCATCTCTCCAGCCCCGGTTTCTTTTATTTCTGAGGCAGAGTCTCTCACGGCCTGGTCTGGTCTCAGCTTTGCTCCGTAGCCTTGAGCTGCTGATCCACCAGTCTCGGCCCTTGAGTCCTGGGGTGACAGGTGTGCGCCAGCATGTTTGGCTCCAAAGGCAGTATGGGTCACCAATTTTCACCCCAAGAACACTATCCACAGTGGACTTCAGATGGTGTATGGAGACAGATGTGTGACTGTTGCAGCCTAGGGTGGGTGATAGTCGGAGACCCTGCTAAGCTTGCTGTGTGGCCCAGGAGGCCTCACAGGGAGCACCTGGCCTTGTGTCCAGGAGGAAGGGACACCTAGCTGATTGATAGTTTAATGTTGGCTCTACTCCCAGACCACCACATTGAGGCAAGCAGTGTCTCTTGGGACCCTGACTTCTGGGGTGGACTTCTCTCTGTCCACACACTCAGCAGACAAGTGACTGTGGGACACAGAGGCTTCCGGGTGTATAGGACTCTGACCCAGAGGGATCTTAGCCAGCAGTGGTTTTTGCCCCCAGGGGACATTAACAATGTCTGGAGACATGGTTATTCCGACCTTGGGAGCCCCTGGCATCGACAAAGCCTCACTGAGCCTGACCTGGTTCCCAGTCCCAGTGATGCACGGGAGACCCCAGGCCAGGCCTTGCTGGAGTTTTCCAGATGGAAGCTTTTAGGCTTTGAGAATGTAAGTTAGGGATGCTCCCAGAGTCTCCAGGAAGGAGGCCTTAGTGCCAGGCAGCTCTGAGTTGAGGGCTGACGGTGCAGTTGGCACAGGGCCAGCAGGACAGGCAGTCCCTGTGTGTCCCTTCCCATCCCCTGCTGTGTGGAGCCCTGAGATCAAGGCCACAGGGTACTTCCTGCCCTGCCCAGGGCCTCAGGCTGCCTGACCAAGGGCCGTATCTGAAACCCAACACCCTAAGCTGCTCCAGCCCGGAACATGACTCAGCCTTCCAGGAACCTGCACAGTCTGTTTGGGTTTTTGTTAATTTAAGAAAAGAAAAAAAAAAAAGGCAGGAGGGTTGAATGTGGACTTGTAACCTTCCCAAGCTTCCGCTGGCTGTCAACACCCCTGGCCCTGTGCCCAGCAGAGCAAAGGACATGTGACAGTGACTGTGCCTGCAGTGCTCCAGAGACTCCTGTCCTCCCTCAAGGATGCTGCATCTCAGGCAAACCCTACAGGTTAGGGCTGACGGCCACTTTCCCTCATGACTCACGGCCAGCATGGCCCCTTGGCTGAGCAGTTGCTCCGTATTCTGCCAATCAGAGGGACTGGGGCTCAGTGGATAGAGCACCCCCCCACCTCCTGGCATGCACCAATCCCTGGGTACCATATGACCCAGGTGTGGTGGTGTAATCCCAGTACTCAGAAGGTAGAGGCAGGAGGGTCGGGAGTTCAGGGCCATCCTTGGCTACTTAGGGAGTCTGAGGCCAGCCTGGGCTACATGACCCTGGTCTGAAAAACCAAGGGGTTGTGATACCTTTCCAGAGGACACAGGCTGTGTCCCCAGCGTCTACCTGGGGTAGCACAACCATCTGTAACTCCAGTTTCAGGGGTCTGGCACCTTCTTCTGACCTCCATAGGTACTGCCTTCACACACACCCATGCACTCAAAATAAATAAATCTTTCCAGCTAAAGACACAGCTATTGCCAGGCAGTGGTGGCGCACACCTTTAATCCCAGCACTTGGGAGGCAGAGGCAGGTGGATTTCTGAGTTCAAGGCCAGCCTGGTCTACAGAGTGAGTTCCAGGACAGCCAGGGCTACACAGACAAACCCTGTCTCCAAAAAAACACCCCCCCCCAAAAAAAAAGACATAGCTATATGTCTCTAGATTGAGGAGTTGACAATCAGTGTGCAAAGGAAAGCCGTGTACTCTGTGTGTCCCCTGCGTGTGCCCTGCATGTGCCCTGCGTAGCTTCAGACTCAGCACGCTGGCCGAGCCACACCATTTGTCCAGACCTGGTCAGCACTTGTGACCCATCCATGTCTCCTACAGAGGCATATTTGGAGTCTGGTCACAGTGTCGGGGACATTCTCACCCTGTCAGCTCCCACCACAGTTGGTGGGGCCCTCCTTAGCATGGATACGTAGGTACCCCAAGGACATTGCCCAGATCTCAGGCCCCAGGTCTGCATCCTGGGACTCTGGCTGGCTTTGGTTCACTTCTCCCTGGACCAGAGGTACCGTCTCAGAGTCTCCCATGTGCCACAGGGACAGGCTGTTGTCATCCCTTCCTACCAGGGCCTGCTATGGTCCCAGGATGAGTCAGATGGGGCTTTAGCCCCTGAGACTAAGCAGTCCCCTGCCTAAGGACACAGACACTGGCATAGGAGGCCATGGCTCACACCCTGCCCTGCTGTTCCTTACAGCTGTTCCTGCCTAGTGGGCCATTCCCAGCTCTCGAAGACCCGGTGACTTCACTCTCCAACACTCCACTTCTCGTCAGCTATCAGGTACCCTGAGTGGCTGGGGTGTTTCCTGGGGGTCTAGAGAGGCTCCAAAGGCATCTCCAGTGTGCTAAGTCCCAGGTAGCCTTGATGCTGGGATGTCCTGCCCATTTTACAGTTGGAAAAACTGAGGCCCCACTTAGGGCTAAGGGCAGAGTCCTGTCTAGCTCACACCAGTGTGCTGGGACCACTTTGTTCAGCTTCCCTGCTGCCTTTGGGGAAGCTGGGTCACTGCAATGTGGAACAGACCCCTGAACTGTCACCCTACAGTCACACAGCCAGCCTGAGGAGGAGGAAGGGGAAGAAGAGGAGGAGGCAGAAGAACTGGGCCATGCTGAGACCTATGCCGACTATGTTCCATCCAAGTGTAAGTGTCTGGGCCAGGGACGAAATGGAGATGCCCTAAGAAGGCACGGGTGGAGCTCCTGCCCCACAGAGTGCAGGCCGTGTGTGCAGGTGGATGGCCACCATCCTGCTGGCCCTCCTCCTTTGTCATGTGCCAACTCTGCCCGCCTACTGTCTCCTCACCAGCCAAGATTGGAAAGCAGCACCCAGACCGTGTGGTGGAGACCAGTACACTGTCCAGCGTCCCGCCCCCAGACATCACCTACACCCTGGCACTACCCACCTCAGACAGTGGGACCCTGTCTGCCCTACAGCTGGAAGCCATCACCTATGCCTGCCAGGTAGCTGACCCTGCCCCACCCCACCCTTCTAGGCTCATAAAGAGGGTGCCAAGCACACAGGCCTGACCCACCTCTGCTCACCCACAGCAACACGAGGTCCTGCTGCCCAGTGGGCAGAGAGCTGGTTTTCTGATTGGGGATGGGGCCGGCGTGGGCAAGGGCCGCACAGTGGCTGGCATCATAGTCGAGAACTACCTGCGGGGCCGGAAGAAGGCTTTGTGGTGAGTACCTGCCAGGCCTCGTGGAGCTAGAGAGCAGATGCAAGAGGGTGGGGCATGGAAGCACTCCTGACTGGGCGTCTCCTGTAGGTTCAGTGCCTCTAATGACCTCAAGTACGATGCAGAACGGGACCTGAGAGACATCGAGGCCCCAGGCATTGCGGTGCATGCACTGAGCAAGGTAGGCCGGCCATAGATGGCCAGCTGAATCCTTTTGTAAGGAAAGAGTTGAGGCAGGGGAGTGTCCCAGCTGTAGCAGGTTTCCTTATCAAGGAGAAAACAGGTTTGTGGGTGAGCTGGCTGTGCCAAGGACTCTTTCCCAAGAGGGGAACTAAGGCAGGGGACACCCTGGACACATCCCAGTGTCTGAACCTGTGTCCACAGATCAAGTACGGTGACAACACTACCTCAGAGGGTGTCCTCTTTGCCACCTACTCTGCCCTGATTGGAGAAAGCCAGGCAGGTGGGCAGCATCGCACACGCCTGCGCCAGATCCTGCAGTGGTGTGGCGAGGCCTTCGATGGCGTGGTATCCTGTTGCCAGGGATGGACGGAGGTGGGCGGACGGTGGGTGGGCATGGAGACGGGCAGAGCTGAAGGACTCGGGCTGCGCTGAGTGGTGCTGAATGGGAGGAGCTCAATTTGGGAGGGTCCCCAGGCCGGACAGAGGCCGTGGCACACACTGACCCGCTAGGAGTGCCCCATCATCCTAGGCCTGGGCCTTCACCCCCACCTGGCACAGCCCCTTTCAAAGCCATTCTGAAATTGAGCACTGAGCATAGAGCAGGACTCCCAAGTCATCCTCACATCCTCCTGGTCTGCTTCCAGCCAGCCCATGGGCTGTGGGCAGCCCGGCTCCCTGTAGTGGTAGGATGCCTCTTGACAACATTGTGGCTACTGTGCACACCAAAGGCTGGCAGTGTGACACAGAGTTTGTCCGTGCTGGGGCCCCTCGATGTGGGCAGCCCACAAGACCCAGAGCAGTCTGTGCCCATGGCAAGTGCCGCTGGCCATCCAGGAACCCAGGGGTGATGGGTGTTGAGGCCTACAGGACCTGTGCAGATGTTGCATGAGCCTCAGTACAATTCTCTTGCTGTCTTGCTCTTCTTGGTACTTTGGCCTTTGGTCTTGAGAGTCTTTTTCTGTAGTCAAGTCTAAGCTGTGTCCCTCCTGGGTGCCCCCTCACCAGCACCCTTTTAACCAGTATTAAGTGGTTCTCAAACACCAAGTCCCCTCACATCTTCCTAGTTCCCGCTGCTGTATTGTGGGATATTTGATTAGGGACACCTTCTGTGCTTCTGGAACATTCCTTAACCCAGTGTATCTCAGATTGTGTTTGACGAGTGCCACAAAGCCAAGAACGCCAGCTCCACCAAGATGGGCAAGGCCGTGTTGGACCTGCAGAGCAAGCTGCCCCAAGCCAGGGTGGTATATGCCAGCGCCACAGGTGAGCTGTGGGGCGGCAGCTGAGCAGGATGGGCACACTGGTCACACAGGTGGCCTGTCAGTGCTGTCACCTACACAGGGATGGGGTGTCCTGCCACACTAGATTGCACTAGATTTGGATCCGTACCGATTTTGTTTGGGACCTGGGACAAATATGGAGCTTGCTGTCTCTTAAGCCGCCCTCCCCTTCGCTGATGACCTCTGACCTTGATGGTATCCCTGCACATTTTCCTCAGAGCCTCAGTTCCCCTTCCTTGGCCCCCAAGTCTCTAGTACTGCAACACTGTACCCCGCTCAGCCTCCGCCTGTCCCACAGCACTTCCCAGCTGTGCGGTGAGTCGCTGGCCTCAACTTCTGCCTTCCAACCCCTAGGTGCCTCTGAGCCCCGCAACATGATATACATGAGCCGCCTGGGCATCTGGGGCGAGGGCACGCCCTTCCGGACCTTCGAGGAGTTCCTGCATGCCATTGAGAAGAGGTGAGCCCTGTCTCTGCTTGTGGGGATGGCTGTCCTTGCCAGGTCTCCAAAGGGCCCATCTCTCCTGGCTCCTCCTGTCCCCTCAGAAAGAGGAGCTCTTCTCATGGTCCCTCCACTCTGCTCTCTGGCCACACAAATCTCTCCCAGGCCCAGCCTCAGCTGGCCTCCTCGTGGCCACAGGGCCTGTGCATATGTGGTGTGCTCTGTCTGCAGGGGTGTGGGCGCCATGGAGATCGTGGCCATGGACATGAAGGTCAGCGGCACGTACATCGCACGCCAGCTCAGCTTTGCGGGGGTCACTTTCCGAATTGAGGAGATCCCACTGTCCCCTGCCTTCGAGCAGGTCTATAATCGGGCAGCCCGGCTGGTAAGCTGGGGTGACCGTCTGCATGTGTCACACAGTCACACTGTGGTTTCTGTGGTAGGGAGCCGAAGCTTCCCGGGCTTCACGGCAGAGCCACGCATGCCAGCATTAGTCCACCTGGCGCAAGTCTTTGGGGGATTTTTTGTTTGTTTGTTTTTTTCACTTTTATTTTGCACTTGTTTGGTTGGTTGGTTTCCTGGGACAGGGTTTCTCTATGTAGCTCTGCCTATTCTGGAATGCCCACTGTTGCTTATTTATTTATTTATTTAATGCATATGAGTACACCATTGCTGTCTTCAGACACACCAGAAGAGGGCGTCAGATCCCATTACAGATGGTTGTGAGCCATCATGTAGTTGTTGGGAATTGAACTCAGGACCTGAGGTAGAGCAATCAGTGCTCTTAACTGCTGAGCCATCTCTCCAGCCCTACTTTAAAAAAAATAATAATAATAATTTATGTATTTTTATTGTATGCTCATCAATGTTTTGCCTGCATGTATGTCTGTGAAAGCGTCAGACAGGAACTGAAGTTACAGACAGCTGTTTGCTGTTGAGTGGGTGCTGGGAATTGAACCTGGATCCTCTGGAAGAGCATCTCTCCAGCGCCATCACTTTTACTTTTATTTCTGAGACCTTCTTATCTCACTGTAACTCAGCTACCAAAACTTCTGGCAATCCTCCTGCCTCAGCCACCCATGTGCTGTAAGAGACATGTACCAGAACTTCTGGGCTCTGCATGAAGGAGTCACAGCTGTGACACTGGCAGCCCTGCCCCCATCCTAGGATTCCCAGGAATGTCATCTTAGATGGTGACATGGAGCCAGTGGTCATGTCCAGCCTCCCTGTGGCTGTGGACCCTGTATGAACAGGTTCCTTGTCCCCACGTTGGCCCCACCCTGAGTCGCCTGCCTCTGTTTCCAAGTGCTAACATGACGGGTGTGCGCCATCACTCCCAGCTTGTCTACTGTGTGCAAGCTGAGTCTGGCACCACAGAGTACGAAAGAGCAAACTGGGTGCAGTGACACTGCTGTCACCCAGACACTCAGGAATCATGGGCCAGCTACATAGGAAAACCCTGTGTAAAAACAGTAAAACATAGACCAGCATGACCCGCAGGGACACCTACAGTGCCTGCCCCTGTGGCCTCTGGGGAACATTCATCTAGGATAACTGTGGCTGTCCTGACAGGGAGCTCCTGGCAAGGACTGTGGTGGCCAGGGACGCTGCTCAGGCCCTTGCAGAGCCTGGGATCGGGCTGCTGTCACGGTGCCCAGGAGGCCTCAAGTTCAGCCTCCTCTTCTGAAACCAGGTGTGGGACGCATGCCTGTCAGGAGGACCAGAATGGTAGGGTATCATAGGCTCCACATCCAGCTCAAAGCCAGGCCTCTTCCCCAGTGAGCCGAACACAGAGTGCTCACCAGGAGGCTGGAAGGCTGAAACAAGGGGATCAGGAGCCAGTGGCCCGCCCCTAGCCCCGTGTTTTTTTTTTTTTTTTTTTTTTACAACTGTGGGTGTGAACGCAGCGTGGTTTTCTCAGATTTACCCTGTGCTTTGGCTCAGCCATCCTCGCTGTACGTCCGTCCCTCACGGGTCCTCACCCCATGTACCGCCCACCAAAGGCTGGCTGGCAGCTCAGCACAGGCTTTGCTTTTGCAGTGGGCCGAGGCCCTGAACGTGTTCCAGCAGGCGGCCGACTGGATCGGCCTGGAGTCTCGCAAGTCCCTATGGGGTCAGTTCTGGTCAGCGCACCAGCGCTTCTTTAAGTACCTGTGTATTGCTGCCAAGGTGCACCGGCTAGTGGAGCTGGCGCAGCAGGAGCTGAGCAGGGACAAGGTGAGTGTACACACAGCCTGGGGAGGGACAGTCACCCTGGATCCCGGGTGGAGCTCAGACACCGCATCTCCCCATCCCCACAGTGTGTCGTCATCGGGCTGCAGTCCACAGGGGAGGCGCGGACCCGAGAAGTGCTGGATGAGAACGAGGGCCGTCTGGACTGCTTCGTCTCCGCAGCAGAGTGAGTAGTCCAGAGTGCCCATGCCCCTCAACAGCTGAGGAAAAGCCACAGAGCGCAGGCAGGACCAGACTGGAATCTTGTGGATCTGGAGGCCACATGGCTTTTGATCTTGGGACCTCAAAAGGAGACTTCTGGACATCTGCCCACACACAGTGATGCTAGTTCTTTCTTTTTTTAAGATTATTTATTTTATGTATATGGGCACACTGTAGCTGTCTTCAGAAGAGGGCATCAGATCCCAATTACAGATGGTTGTGAGCCATCATGTGGTTGCTGGGAATTGAACTCAAGACCTCTGGAAGAGCAGTCAGTGCTCTAACCGCTGAGCCATCTCTCCAGCCTCGCAGTGGTGCTATTTCAACACAGTCCCATGGGCTTCTCAGGCCTGGCATCCACAGGCTTACAAATCCCTCTCAGGAGTCACCTCAGTTTATTCCAGTGAGGCTCCTTCCTGCCTGATCCTACTCAGAGACCCCCCAACTTGGTGCCACTGTGTCCTGCTACCCGTCTCCTTGAAGCGGCATGGCTGGCCCGTGTGCTGAGCCCTCTCTCCCTTGCAGAGGCGTCTTCCTGTCCCTGATCCAGAAGCACTTCCCTTCCACCAGGAGGAGGCGTGACCGTGGAGGAGGAAAGAGGAAACGTAAATGCCCGCCCAGCTCCTCCTGCTTTACTCTCCATCCCCACCCTCCCTCCAGACCAGAGTATGCACCCCCCCCCCCACCGCAGGGTGCTCAGAGAAAAAAAACCCTGGCAGACTCCAGCCTCAGGTTGCCGGGCCTGTCCATCCAGCCCCCACTGCCCAAGGCCCTGGGGACCCCAGCAACACCGCAGATCCCAGCTCCAGCTCCACTGGTTGGCAGGCAGGCTGGCTACCGGCTGCTGCTCAGCCGTGCATGTGCTGACCGCAAGCCCTGCCAGTGCCCAGAGCACTTGGGGTAGTAGCCTCCTACCTTCCAGTTCAAAGTTCCCAAGCCAGGCTCAGAGAAGCCAGATACCTCCCCTGCAGACACACTGACAATGGGGGACAGCCTAGTCTCTTCCACTCCAGACTCCCCAAGACACTCATAGGCCTTCTCACCCTCCACATGTTGTGCTGTCTGGACAGCACTGTCACGTGTGGTGACTGGACTTGTCCTTTGAGGAGGCTCCGATGTCTTCTGGACCTCTCACCTACCACTGGGTCCAAATATGAAGCCATCAGGGCTGGAGATGGGAACCTGGTACCCCAGATTGCCTCGCCTGCCCGAAGAGGGGCCAAAGGGCTTCCTGGAGGGAATACAAGACACATCCAAACAGAAGAAGCCAGCCAGTCTTAGACGGTGCCTGGGTCCCTCCATCATTAGAGTCAAGCCACCTCCTAGCCTCCACCCCTCCTGCTCTCTCTGCCACCCCAGCTTCACCCACATCCGCGGTCTCCACTTCTGACAGCTGACCCATGACTCCTCCCTGCAGGCCGGCCTCGGGGTCGTGGCCCCAAGGCTTCTAGACTGGCACTGGAGGCAGCAGGAATTATCCGAATAAGTGACGGCAGCAGCACGGAGTCAGAGGCTGGCCTGGATAGCGACTTCAATTCCTCTCCAGAGTCCCTGGTAGATGATGATGTAGTCATCATAGATGGCCCCACGCTCCCCACAGATGACGGAGGTGAGCCTCGACCGTCCAGCCAGACTCCAGGCAGTAGACATTACCACGAGGACCTTTCCACCACATACCCTCGTTACAGATAGGGAAGCTGAGGCTCACAGCCAAGGTCAGGCCATTCCATCAGACACAGCAGAGTGGCTGCTGTTGTGTCCATGTTCCACTACTGTGAGTCTCCTCATCCTGCTCCTGCAAGGCCACCTCACTGACCTTCTGTCCCACCCCCAGGTCCCCTGTGTCCACTTCAGAGAGACCTGCAGGGCCCTGGTGTCCTAGAACGTGTGGAGCGACTGAAACAGGGCCTGCTGGCCAAGGTGCGGGCGCTGGGCCGGGAGCTGCCAGTGAACACGTTGGACCAGCTCATCCATCAGCTTGGGGGCCCTGAGTGCGTGGCTGAGGTGAGCTTGGCGGCCCATAGACAGCTCTCATAGGGCCCTATGTCAACCCTTGGGGACAGACAGAACCTGGCTGCAGAGGGTCATGTGTGTATGTTCCACGCCTACTCCCATTGGCCAGCCTGGTCTACATGAGATCCTGTCTCAAAAAAGGGAAAGAGCTGGAGAGGGCTTGCCAGGTAAGAGCATTCCAGATGGACCTGAGGGCACCAGCACATGTGTCACACACACACATGCACCTGAGGGTACCAGCACATGTGTGACACACACACACATGCTCCTGAGGGCACCAGCACGTGTGTGACACACACATGCACCTGAGGGCACCAGCACATGTGTCACACACACACATGCTCCTGAGGGCACCAGCACATGTGTGACACACACATGCACCTGAGGGCACCAGCACATGTGTCACATACACACATGCACCTGAGGGCACCAGCACATGTGTGACACACACACACATGCTCCTGAGGGCACCAGCACATGTGTCACACAC